CAGGCTCCCCGTCTCCGGGCAGGGTCCTCCCAGACGGGGGGGCGACGCTGGCGGCTATGCTGAGGACACACTCGCCTTCCGCCAGGCGGACTGCCGTCCTGTGGCCTCTCCCAGCCCTTCGGGACCCTTTTCCCTGGAGAAAGAAGCCTTTGAGTCCAGAGGAGATGACAGCACCAAGGGGCCGGAGCAGGAGGAAAGGGAGCCAACGCCGTACCCGGATGAGAGGACCTTCCACTACGCAGACGTCTACGAGAAGGTGGTGGTGTCTGGCATGGGGCTGCCCAGCTTTGGGCGCCCGGATAAGGACCGGCCAGAGCCCGCATTCGCAGCCCCGGCGACCAAGAAAACAGCAGGCCGTCACGGGGAGCTGCCGATCCACATCTCCGCCAAGGAGGAGGAGTCGTGCCTGTACACCCCTGCCGAGAAGGAGCTGTCTTCCCCCACCTCCCCCCGGGACAGAGGCGACTCCTCGTTCGAGTACACGGACGTGCACGAGCGACGCTCCCCCCTGCCTGAGGCGGAGAAGCCCCGGGATGCACCGGGAGGCCCGGGTGAGCCGTCCTGGGCAGCGGCCAGGCTGGACAGACCGGACGCTGCGCCGTGCCCGCCCTCCCCGGGGGGGCGCGCGCCGGCCCCACCCCCAGACCTCCTCCACGCCTTGTGCCACGAGAAGCCCGCCACAGACGCAGCTCCCTGCGACGACAACATCCTCTCCCTGCGCCGGGAGCAGCACGTGCCTTCCCCGAAGGAGCCGCCGACCAAAGACATGTACTACGAGAAGGCAGGGCGGGGGGAGGAGAGCGCCAGTGACTCCGAGCTGGAGAAGGGCGCCAAGGAGCGCTCCGAGAAGGAGTCCCGGCTGCCCAGCCCCCCGCGCGTCCCCGGCACGGCCGGCGGGAAGGACGTCTATGCCGACATCCCGGCGATGGAGAAGGCCCAGGCGTCCGCCTCACCGGCGTCGTCCGCCTCCTCACCCTGCGACTCCCCGCAGAGCGACGAGCGCTGGCTTGGGCAGCCAGTTGCCGCCGCGGAGCCCCACGCCGTGGGGTACGGCCCTCTGCCAGGCCCGGGCAGGGACGGCTGGGCACCACGCGTGTCCTGCTCCGGCCAGGTGTCTCCGCAGCAGAGGGAGGGCGCGGGGGTGCCCCGCCGGGAGCCCCCCTTTCCTGCCACGCACTCGTCCAGGGCGGAGGTGGCCTTTGAGGGCCATGGCAAAGATGCCCGCCTGAAGCCAGCTGCTGCAGGGGAGCAGGAGGAAGAGGAGGAGGAGCTGGCTTTGCCCCCGCAGAGCAAAGGGGCTGATTTCTCGCCCTCTGGATTTGGGTTTTCCTCAGCACAAAAGCCCGAGCCATGTGGCGCGCCGGGACGCGAGCTGTCACCTGCGAGCTGCAGGGTGGACAAGCCTCTCGCCCTGAGCCTCCCCGGCGCTTCGTCCCACGACCAGGAGCGGAGCCACGAGTACCTGGAGGTCTCCAAGGCTGCCCTCGGCTTGGAGCCCTCCCTCACCAGGTTCTCGCCCCTGAGCCCGTGCGAGGACAGCCAGCCCCTGCCCGGGTCTGCGGCCGGAGGGGCGGCCTCCCTGCAGCAGCCCCGCGACGACTCCCCCAGCTGCTCCGAGGACGCCTCCTCGGAAGCCACCACGCCGGTGATACACGCGGCCGCCGAGGGCTTCTACTCCCACGTGCTGGCTGGCTACGCTGGCACGGCCACGGAGCCCGACCGCAGGAGCCTGTGGGACGTGTCCCCGCTGCTGCCGGCAGACTCCTCCGGGACCCAGGTGACGGGCAGCCAGGAGCTGGCCGCAGCCGAGGAGCGGGGCCCTCCCTCCCCGTGCGACATGGATGACAGCACGCTGCCGTGCCGTGTCGAGTGCCTTGGCGTGGACGCGCGGGGGTCGCACCGCGCCGCCGGCCCAGGGCAGCAGTCCCCCTTCACGGACCAGCTCGCGGCCATGACCTCGCTGCCGGACGTGCTGACGTCGTTCCCTCCCCCTCGGCCGGGAGACGCCGCCACAGCCAACGGTCCCACCGAGGTGAGCACGAGCCCCCAGGCCTCGCACAGCGTGCCCCCCGCCGCCGAGGCGCTGCGGCATCCCGAGGCCAGCGGCAGCCTGTCGCCGTGCTCGGGGGACGAGGACCGGGAGCGGCAGAGCCGTCCGTCCTCGCTGACGTCCCCGGAGCACAGTTTCCAGCCCTTCTTCCCCGACGCGCAGAGGGGCGGCAGGCCGGGGGACCGCGGCGACGCCTCCCACGAGATGGAGCCACGGCTGGGCGCCGGCTCCGACTACGGGCAGAAGTTCTCGGTGTGCGAGTACAAGCAGAGGAAGGGCGAGCTGTCCCCCTCGTTCATCAACCCCAGCCCACACGACCTCTCCGAGGACAGCGACCTCTCACAGGACGAGGGGCACCCCTCCGTGAAGGGGAGGCCACATCACCCCGCCGGGAGCCAGGGACAGGCCCCCGTGGTGGAGGAGACCCCGCCCACCTCGGTGAGCGACTCCGGGACCTCCCAGTCCGACTCCGACGTGCCCCCCGAGACCGAGGAGTGTCCGTCCATCACGGCCGACGCAGCCATGGACTCGGACGAGGATGCCGATTTCCTCCCGGTAGACAAGACCGTGGGCACGTCTCACCATGCCAGCACGCGGCCCAGCCACGACCCCCAGCCGGCCCCTATGGTGGATCCCCACCCGCACTCCCCGCACCCAGACGTCTGCATGGTGGACCCGGAAATGCTGGTCGTGGAGCAGAACGCGAGCAGAGCCGACAAGCTCGCCAAGAAAGACCTGAAGGAGAAGAGCAAAGGCATGAGGAAGGCCTTGAGCAAGCCGAAGCCATCCTCGCCTGCCCGCAAGCTCGAGGCCAAAGGAAAGCGGTCGCCCACGCCTGTGAAGCAGCCTGCAGAGCGGTCCCCAAAGGCTGCCACGGCAAAGAAGGAGAAGGAGGGAGGGGAGAAGCCGTCCAAGGCACGCGGCTCCCTTGCGCAGCCCTCGCACGCGGACGAGAAGGACGAGGTGTCCCGCAGCAGCCACAGCAACCCGGGCAAGGGCCTCGTGAACGGCATCAAAACCAACCCTGGTAAGACGCCCCTTGGGAACGTGCTTGTGCCCACGCGGCAGCCGCAGCCCTACCCCAGCGCTTCCTACGCAGCCTCCGCGGTGCTGGCGGCTGGAGCGCGGGGGGGCTGCGGCCGGCCGAGGCCAAAGGGCTGGCGGCGGCTGGGGAGCCAAACACCCCTACGCGCGGGGCAGGAGGAGCCAGGGCCCTGGCTTGGGCGAGGGAGCTGAACCCTTGGGTGCACGCAGGCGTCTCCCGTGGGCTGCTCAGCGCTCAGGCTCTGCTCTCGGGGCTGAGGCAGGACTGGGTGTTGACTTCATTTTTGTGCTTGGCGGTGCGCAGGCCTCCCCCGAAGGCTCAGGGCAGCTGCGCTGAAAACCAGACAAGCCAGGGAGCAGCCTGGCAGGGCTCCAGCTGCAGCACGGCTGCCAGGAGCCTGCCCGAGCTACCCGGTCTGGCCGCGCGGCCGGCAGAGCGCCAGGCCCCAGGTTTGGGCTCACGTGGAAGGGATGAGAGGGGAGGAGGGTGCTTTCTTCTGGGCCGGCACGTGCAGTCAGCTGGTGCATCCCGCACTGAGGCCCCCGGCGCCCCCGAGCACCACGTCCATGGCCCCCTGGCCAGTGGGGCGTGCTGGCCTGGGCCCTGGTGGGATTCCTCTCCCCGGCCAGGAAGGGCTGCTGTATGGTGCTACCCAGGCTGCTCCCCTGCCCCTTCTCCCAGGTCTGGGGCACGAGACGGGGACGCGCTCTCCATGGGTCCCGGCCGCGGC